TCCATACTGTAATGTTTTGATAACCTACTTTTAAAAACTTTAATTTGGGAAGGATTTTAGGCACACAGAAAAGTTATCAAGACAGTTTAGAATGCAGGTACTCTTAACTTGAATATTTTCATGACCGTGGTATAATTTTCAAAACTAAAAAAAAAATGTCATCAGTGTAATATTGTTAGCTGGAAACTTTCATAGTATAAAATTTAACCATTAACTTGTAGAAGCAGGACTCCCACAGCAAATTGTAGTTCCCACAGGTTAGTTATTCTTTCTCTTTTTTCATTTATGTTTAAATTTGTATTGAGCACTCTTTAAATTTAGTGATGTTTGTGTGTGTGTGCACATGATGTGTGTGTGTGTGGGTACACATAACACAGCACATTTCTGGAAGTCAGAGGATAACTTTGTGGAGTTTGTTCTTTCCCTCTATGTTTAAATGGGTTCCGAGTATCAAACTTAGTTTGTTAGGCTTGTATGACAAGCACCTTTTATCAAGGAGCCTCTTTCCAGTCCTTATTAAACAATTTTTAATGAGTAGCTGAGTGACTAAATCCTTCCATGTGTCACAGATTCCTTCTGTAAAAATTTTCAGAAATGAGGGGCTGGAGAGGCAGCTCAGTGGTTAAGATCACTGACTGTTCTTGCAGAGGACCCCAGTTCAATTCCCAGCCCCCACATGTGGATAAGAACAGTCCTTAACTCCAGTTCCAGGGGAATCTGATGCCTTCTTCTGTCCTCTGCAGCATTACATGACGCGGGTGTGCTTACACACATACAGGCAATGCACTCACACATATTAAGTAATAAATAAAATATTTTTAAAAGTTTTCAGAAATGAACCTGAGTTTCAAAGATGCCATTTTACACAGATTGAACCATATTGCTAACTTTCTACATGGCAGCATTAACTTGTGAGTATTTTCATTTCATAGTCTGCTCATTGATACTTAGATAGATGCCAAAGTATATTTGACAAAATTTGGCTCAAGACAAATGGGAGTTTTCACATAACACAGTACAGAAGAAATAGAGAAAATTTGGAGTCTGGCCAACCAACCAATGTCCCATACTCTTACTTCTATAAAACACTGTCCCTTTAATCTCTTTACTTGCAAAGTCAGTTGATATCTCATAGTCTGTAGTGTGGCAGAGAGGAACGGTACTAAGCACATTAGAATATCCTTTAGAATGTCTGGCCTACAGACACTTGGCAAATGTGTCCATGTTCCTTTATTTTTTCCCCTAGCCTCTTGGCTTTGATTGTAAGTGTATGTTCATAGTTCCGTCTTATGTTAACTCAGAGTCTTCGAAGAGAAGACTGAGATCTTAGTAAAGACACTACTAGACACTATTATAAATAAAATAACGATCGTGTATTCATCAAGGGGTTCTCATTCACTGTCAGCTCTAGACATAGTGGTAGAACTTGTATTAGAAGCCTAGGAACTCCTAATCATTACATTTGATTTATTCATTTTGGCCCTAGTTTTCATTCATGGCCTCACACATCAAGATTCGGTACACTCAATAGCTCATTGTTCTCACAAGGAAATGGATTCTTCAGTCTGTTTTTCCTATCCATTGGCGGTTGAGTATACTCCTGATTCCTTCAGATAAGATGAAAGACAGAGCAGCTCCATGCATCACATCAAGACATAGTGTTGCACAGAGGTAGGAGGAGAGTCTCCTGTATCTTCTGGTGCTGTCCCTCCTTATTTAGCAGTACCCAATTTAAGTGTCCTCTTTGGGTTAAGGGGATTAGGAAGACTAGATGGACTTAGATCTAACAGGATTAGTCTTCTCCTGTGGGAATTTATGGGTCACATAAAGTAAGGGTGAGCCAGCATATGCACTGGCTTTTCCAGAAAGTAGAGAAGAATGGGTGTGGGGAAGGTATGTACAGAGCTTGACTTGATGTTTGGTGGGAGATTTTTGAGACAGGATCTCCCTGTAGTCCCAGCTGGCCTGGAAGTCAATATGTAGACAAGGTTGGCCTGGCCTCCATCTCATAAAGATTCACCTGCCTCTCCCTGCTGAGTCCTGGAATTAGAGACATGAGCTATCACACCCAGCTGGCTAGCTAGTCTTCTTAAGGACCCATTATATGCCTCAAACTGACCATATCTTTGCAGAGAGAAAGAGAGACGGGGGGAGGGAGAGGTCAAGAAAATAATGATTCACAATAACAACTGACATTTGTAAAGTTTTAAATTCCAAAATGCTTATTTAAATCTTAATTATTCTATCCTGTACCTAATATTCTACAAAGTTGATATTGTTGTCTCTGCTTAAGAGATGAAGGATGCAAGCTTCGGGAAGATGAAGGGATTTTCCCTCAACTGTGCACAGGAAAACCCAAGTTTAGACCTCAGAGGCATAAATCTTCATTGTTTCTGTGGCTTCAGACAACCTTTAAAAATTATGAACTTGCTATAAAGCTGGAAAAAATGGTCTAGTGCACTGTGAAGCTGTGATTTTTGTGTGCTATAGACAGAGAACACCAACCTGGGAAGAGAAGAATCCCAGAAATTGTTTTTAAAGAGAAAGATAGTGAGATCTTCATACGTGCTCAAAAAGGGAATAGCATGGATGTCTGGGAAAGGAGATGGGAAAGGAGGAGCACAGAACTTTCCTTTAGTTCAAGTTTGGGTCTAACCAGGACTCAATGGAGTTAAGGACTGCAGAGGTGTCCCATGTTGGCAGAAGGTCCTAGGTTGGAGGAAGATTTTTAGTAGAGCTCTTTTCTATCATTTCTCGAAGATTTTATTGGACACTTCACCAGTCACTGGCCAGTTGGTGCAAATGTGCATGTCACCCCTACTGAAACTTCCTGCAGAGTTCAGGAGTGCTCACTTTCCTGTATATAGATTCTCTTTGTTTAAGAGAAGTCTTGAGTGAATCCTTACACCTACCTCAGTGTAAGGGCGTCCATCCATTTGTTGTATATCTGCTCCTGATATTTCACTTGGGAGAGATGTCTGCATTTGTCTTTAGTGTCTGAGAAATCAAATGTGCCTACTTACGCATCAAAAAGAAGTAAAATAGCTTCTCTATCATATAAAAATATACATTCAAATAAGTAGGCCTGTTCCAGAAATATTCATTCTTTCAGCCTCTAGTGTTTCAGTATTAGTATTAGGAGCAGAGAGGGAAACACACACACACACACACACACACACACACACACACACACACGAGCAAGAAAGAACCTGCCCTCAGGTACACTATTCCAATTGGGGCAGTGAAGAGTAACACATAATGTGGCATTATTGTTGTTATATCATGTTGAATTCCTTGCGTGGAGTGTCGTGGAAGGTCCTCAGAAGTACCAGTGGGCTGAAATCTAGAACTTGTTTGGCAACTGCCTGGTAAGAAGCTTTGTAGGCAGAGGGAATATGGATGGAATGTCTCAAACACCATAGAAACTTTGACCAAATTGTTCACCATAAAGCAGGAGATTAGAGGAGGTTAGAAGACTCATGGACAAAGTGAAAGAAATAAATAATCATGGGAGGGAAAAGAAGTTAAAAGGGGCATTTGAATGTATTCCAAGTGCAATGTGGTAAAGGGAATTTTGAGTCAAGCCATTTTAAATAAAGACTGGAATAAAAGGATTTCATAGAGGCCAGAAGAACATCTTTAATACAATGTTCTTCCAGTGATAGAGACTGAACTGATGTAAGAGTTATCATGGAGCCTGTGTTTATTGACTGCTCTATAGTCTCAGGTGAGATCCAGGATCTTGACTTACTCACCTGTGAAACAAGAACAAAGTTTTTGAATCAGAGATCTCTTTATTGGGATTCACTTTCAATTCATATCAAGGCAGTTCTTTTATCTTACTAAAGAATCAGATTATTTACTGCAGTGGGATTTTAAAATACTGCATTATATATGTTTCCTTACTTGTTGGTCAAAGATAAAAATGTGGAGGTGAATTCTAGTAAAGATAAAAATATAGGTACAAAATATCACAAGTCTTGCCATAAATGTTTGAAACTATTTTCATTCGGATTAGGGAGAGGAAAATTATCTAGGATTTCAGGAGTTGGGGGACATACTGAAAAGGAGGCATTGATATCAAAGGAGTAAAATAATAATGATATCCGACTATTATAATTATAATTATAATTAGGATGTACTTGAAGAGATTCTGAGGCTTCTCTAGCAACTTGGAGATGGCAAGGAAGGACACAGAGTATGTACTTTGTCTCTAAAGTTTTCTTTTCTCCTTTCAGATTCACAATACCTAACTTGCCGAATGCAAAACTGTACAGACACCAATAGAAATAAGCCTTTCCCAGGCTACATTGACCCAGACTCTTTGATTGTCCAGGATGATTATGTGTTTGTTCAGGTATGAAAACTCTATTTCTGTCTATTGGGTCGAGAGTATTCCTTTGTCTAGTTTCTGTCTTGTAGCCCTTCCTGCCTGCTCACACACACTTGAGAGAAAAGAGGGAAAAGTACAGAAGAGAAGGGAAAGAAGGAAGAAAGGGAGGGAGGGAGGGAGAAGGGAGGGAGGGAAGGAGAAGGGACGGAGGGAGGAAGGAAGGAAGGATGGAGGGAGGGAGGGGGGAGAAGGAAGGAAGGTAGGAAAGAAGGAAGGAGGGAAGGAAGGAAGGAAGGAGAGAGGGAGGAAGGGAGGGAGGAGAGAGGGAGGGAGGGAAGGAGAAGGAAGGAAGGAAGGAGGAAGGAGGAAGGAGGGAGGGAGGGAGAAGGAAGGAGGGAAGGAAGGGAGGTAGGAAGGAAGGAAGGAAGGCAAGCAAGCTGGCTTTTAGAGCATTAATTGGAGGGAGGGAGAAGGAAGGAGGGAAGGAAGGGAGGTAGGAAGGAAGGAAGGCAAGCAAGCTGGCTTTTAGAGCATTAATTTTCTTCAGCCAGTGTCTGTAGGAATTTGCCAACAGAGCACAAAAGTGCTGCATAGAGTAGCAAGATTGTCCCTTGAGTGACATCACCTGTTTCCCAAAGAGACCCCCAGTCCTTCTTTTCTTATCAGGGTTAGTCAGTCCTCACCTCACTATCACTTTAAAAAAGTAAAGAAGGTGAAGGTGAAGTTGTGTGATCCCTCCCTGGAGGTGTGGGAGCAGAGGCCAAGGTAAGAATGATCAGCCATGATGGTTAGGCACTGATTGTGGATCTGAGAAGCAGACATTGGATTAGACATATTCAGGCTTGGTCAATGGAAGCCAGTTTGAGAAGCTGAGATCCCAGGAGCAGCTACAAGAGACTTTAGGAAGTAAGCATGATTTCTTTCCTCTCAGCTCTTGAAGAAAATTTTAGTCTTGCTTTGGGCAATGCATCTAAAACCTCTGCTCTTGCTTTCTATGGTAAAAAATGATAAATATGTAATTGCTAAATAGGTAGCATATATGAATGTATATACGTATACGCACGCACGCACACACACACACAAACATGCACATATATAATTTTCACTACAACTGAAGCACATTCTAGATACTCTTATTTATTTGAACAACAAATTGCAATAAATAATCCTATGCAGTTTTTAAATGCCCGTATCAGCTTATCTAGTTTCCCAATGTTTCATAAGTGATTATGCACAGATATGTCTCCTTTTTCTTCAGGGCAATGGGTGATGGCTGCTACTCTGGATAATTTCAAATGACATTCAGGTGGCTGCCTGTATTATTTCTGTATAAAGCAATCACCCTTCTTCCATTCTGCAAGTCCATCAGGATTCATTGACCTGTATGTCTTGGACAAAACCATGCCAATTTCCACAGTTTTATTTTAAAAGATAGAGACCTAGAATTAATTTGGAACCCAAATCTGGTTTGGCTTTCTGCCTAACATGCCGGGTCATATCCATAGGCATCAGTGTGATGCCATCAACCTGGAACTCAGTGCGTAGAGGAGGAAAGGTTTCCTTCCACTGTTTTCCCTGAGCTATTTCTTTCTCAAACAGCATGGCTTCCTGGGGGGTCATGGACTTGAGGCTGAAAAGCTGAACGGCTGATGGACAGTGAGCCAATACCCTCTGAGGCTTCCATCATTGGAAAAAAGCATAACCGAGACTGTTTCTTGGCTTCTGAGCCACAGTGAAAATTTGCAAATATTATTTTTATCCATTAAATGCTTAGGCCTGGGCCTCTGAACATACCACATACGATGTGTAAGTTGTTTTTCGAATAAATACCGATTCCTCACAGTTGTCCCCAACAGCCGTCCTTCGTGTTTGGCGGCAGCTACCTCCTTCATTCAGGCATCTGTTCTTCTGTGCCCCTAAATTGTTTAAGAAGCTTCTCTTATAACCTTGTTTCCATGATCCAGCTGACATCCGGAGGAAGACCACATTACTACGTATCCTATCGAAGAAATGCGTTTGCGCAGATGAAGCTGCCGAAGTATGCTTTACCGAAGGTATGGGCCGGCTCGCTTTGTTCCCTCTTGTTCATTTCACTGCTTCCCTCTTGTTTATACAGTCCCTCCTCCACGTGATTCCCAGGACCTTGTCAGCCTCTAACAACAGAGGGTTCCATCAGCCCTACCTCTACTGGACTGCCCACTTCTGCTTTTGATATCCTCTCCATCCTCCGTTCTCTCTGAGTTCTTTCTCTCTCTCTCTCCCTTTTCTTTTTTTCTTTCTCTTTGGAATTCGTGCTGTAGGAGCATCTGGGTAAACTGACAATAGTGTTGTATTTGCTTTTCAAAATTAAGCATTTCTAACCAGAATATATTTTTATCAAAACAGAAATATATTACTAAAATTTATGTTCTATCACTGCATCGGTTTTCAGTGGGACTTAGGAAGCTGGTTATGTTTCGAGACCTGAGGCCTAGCTATGCTTTCAGACTTCCTTAGCCTCTCCTTTTAGAAAACAGTGGCGAAAAAGTTAAAGACCCTCCAACACCAACATCCCCAGGCTTTCTTTCCAGAAACTCTGAAAACCTGTGTTAATATGGAGCGCCACCTAGTGGAGGTCACACTGAAGTGGGTGTGCAAAGCTGCCTGTTTGTGATCTTGCTGTTCCTGTGATGTATTTTTAAATGAACCAAATTTAATCTAATCTGACTTAAATTTGGAACAAGAGAAGTGAGTACGTGGGAGATGTAAGAAAGGAATTATGCAGATTTTAAAGAATCATTGCTCAACCCCGAATCTTTTAGGTTGGACAAATAATATAATGAAGTTTATTTCGACTGATTTCTTTTATTTTCTGTTTTCATTCTTGACTTTGCAATATCTTATTGAGCCAGCGTCAGCTATATGCTCAGAAACTTTTATTATAGAAGTAGAACAAGGTGCATAGCTATTCTCCTTTCCTTAGAGCCAAGAGTAACTTATTGTGCTGACTTCACTGGGCGGAATTCTTCTTCCTTGGCCGCAACCCTCCTCTTAAGTAACAATAAAAGATGACTTATAAACCTCGGCCAATTATCAGTAATAACCCACATTGAAGCACACTATCAACCCCAGAGAGCTATGTTGTTATCAGTTATTCCTATTTTTTGGCTGATAAGAGATTAATGAGAATGAAAATTTTCCAGAACTTATGTCTGTGTGTGATATTACACACATTCAATTGGTCTTGCTCTTGGAGGAGAATTGAGTGAAATTCGTATATAAGAGGAAAGCTGAGATCAGTTAAAATTACTCTTGATAATCGCCTCGGAAGGTTCTGGAGGAAGATAAACATATCAACTCAGAAAATAAGAGTTCCTTGTCTGCCCTGAGTACTGAAATGAATTGTGACTCACCAAAAACTGAATAAGATGGCTTACAACAATTTTACCTTTAACAATAAGATTTATGCTCAATGTAGTGAGATGCTATGGTTTGAGAGGCATATAGAACTTAGACCAAATCGGGAAAGCTCAAGTCAGTCATTCATCACATGCTCATTCTGAAGTTGGCATATTCTCAGTAGAATAAGTCTCAGCCAAGAACAAATCATATTTGCTTCACAACTGAGGCTAGATCTCAAGTCTTCTGACACCTAAGCTAGTGTTTTTTATTAATTTATTTTACTCCTTTGCAAGTAAATGAATACCTTGTAATAAGTTGTATTCTTAAAACATGGCATAATTTCCTCCCCCATCAAGAAAAAATTGTGTGTGTGTGTGTGTGTGTAAGGCCATGAAAGAAAAAAATTGTGTGTGTGTGTGTGTGTGTGTGTGTGTGTGTGTGTGTGTGTAAGGCCATGAAAGAAGAGCAAAAGCCCCATTGACCCAAGGAGCCCCAGAAACAATATTTTAAAAATCAATAGTTTTTGTAGACTGTCTGCTAGGGAGTTGGGAGGCAGGTACTTTGCATTGCTTCTTCATAGTCATCACAAAGCTCACTGCTGTCAGCTGCCCTGAGTGGCCTCTAGCCAATCTGGAAGGCAAAGTTTTGCTTTGAAGCTGAATCTTCCATCTTTCTCCCTCCCTTCACTACCAGGATGCTCATGTGCTATTGCTCAGCCTCATTTGAGTTCTGAGAGTAGAATGCAGTGATTAATTTGGCTTGTTACCACAAAAATGGGAGCTAGTATAGCAAATGAATGGATTATTTTGTCCAGGTGGGTATTTATTGTATAAAGCAATGAAAGGCTTCATTACAATCCCATTAGAGCTTCAAAGAGAAGCCGCACCTTGGATAGAGCAATCTACCCCATTGGTGCTGTGTTTCATAGCCTCTGTCAGAGTCAGGGCCGCTGCACCTGAAAAAAAACAAAGCCTCAGTGGACCAAAGGAATGGAGGCAAACCAGGGCCTTCCTGTTCAGATTTCTTTAATCATACACTGCCATTGTATCAGCTATTGAAAGCACAGAGTGTTACCATGGGCTTTGTTAAGAAAAATGAATGATAGAATGGTAACAAAAAACTAGAGAGAGGAGAGGGGTAACTTTAATGTTGCCTTTGCTAGTAAGAGCATGTAGCCCTTTACACAGAGCAACTTAGTGACAGTCTTCCTCCCCTTAACTTACTGGGAACCTATTCTCATCAAGAAGATAAATGGGGCAATACATAAGAAAGTGCCCTGAGCATTTTGGAGGACAGATACTCTATAAAAGAAAAGTAATATTATTATTAGTATAGATCTACTTGTCTCCATAGTGGAAGATGGATGTGCTACAGGATCCAGGGGAGAGTGTGAAAGCTGTTTGATTCTTGACAGAAGCCAGGCTCAGATCTGGATTTGTCACTAACTTGCTTACAAACCTTGACTTGCTGGTTCATCATTTTTTCTTTTACTCATTTCTTCTAAAATAAGAAATTTAGAATCAAAAACAATATTTTTCCTCTAATGTGTTACTCAGAATAAAATGTCCTTAGTTCTATATTGCAAAAATATGGTCCTGTGATCATGAACTCACAGAGATCTGCCTGCCTCTGCCTCCCGAGTGCTGGATTAAAAGCATGCACCACCATGCCCGGTGATCAAATATCTTTAAAAGAAGCAAAATCAGCCTTTTATCCCAGAGACAGGAGGATCTCTGTGAGTTTGAGGCCAGCCTGGTCTATAGTGAGTTCCAGGTCAGCTGAAACTAACTACAAGGAGACAAAAAAAAAAAAAAAAAAAAAAAAAAAAAACAGCAAAAAGCAAATTCCATTTTATATGCCTTCCTGACAGACTACTAGTAGGTCCCTAATATGTTGATGGCTCATGAATGTCCTTCAAGTAACAAAGCTCTTTAGTTCAGTATCAATTTAACCTTTTACCACTAAGCATGGTGAAACAAGCCTGTAATCCCAGCTCTCAGGAGGTTTAGGGAGGAGAATCAAGAGTTTGAGGCCAACTTACCTGACATAGTGAGTTCAAGGCCAGCCTTGATTTTACATATATATATATATATAATAACCTTATTTTTTGTTTATTTACTTTTATTTTATGTATATGTGCATTTTACCTGCATATATGTAAGTGTACCTAAGTTGTGAAGTTCCTGCAGAAGGCAGAGGAGGGTGTTAGATCCCC